TTACCTTAGCCTGAGCCCTGCCCGCCCACCAGGAGCCAGCCAGGGGAGGGCCAAGAAGGCAGGATGCAACCCTGGAGCACTGGAGCCACCCGGGCTCTCCCTGCCTTCCATGCTTCATGAATGGCAAGTTTCCACAGAGGCAGCGGCTGCGGGACGCAGAGTGGGAGACAGGGGACCGGGCCAAGCCTGGCTGGGGCTCGGGCTTGACAGAGGGCACCAGCGCGGAGTTGATCTCCCTAGTGGGTGGTGGCTCCCCCTGCCGCCAGGGAGATCTCCTCTGCGCTGGTGCCCTCTGTCAAGCCCAAGCCGCACTCGCACTCGGCCTGCTCCCGTCTCCTGCTCTGCGCCCTGCAGCTGTTGCATCCGTGGAAACTTGCCATTCATAAAGCGTGGGCGGTGGGGAGGAGGAGGCACCTAAGAAGTCTCCGACCTCCTGCGGCGGGAGCTGGGAACTTTGTGCCGGGGTGCTCCCGGCGTGGCCATGGCAGAAGGGAGCCGGGACTCTGGCCACTGCCGCCGCCGCCCCCCAGCTGGCTCTGGGTGCTTGGCGCTCTGGCTACTGCTGCTGCTTTGACTGCTGGAAGCTCAGCTGCTGCTTGGGGTCCAGGCGCAGGTGGCGGGACAGGGTCCTGGGCCAGATCAGCAGCCCCTGCCGCTGCTGCTTCAGCAGCAACAGAGTGGGAAGCAATACAATGGTGAGCAGGGCCAGAGCCCCGCCTGCCCACCGGGGACATGGGGCCCTCTCCGATAAAGAGAGAGAGGGAGAGAGAGAGAGAGAGAAATTACAATTGGTTAATTGGTTCCCTCACTCCTGTGAGAGAGACACATCAATAGGTTCTCCTCTCATTGACCACTTGGATTCCAAGCCAGCGAGGGCTGCCTTCAGGCCGCAGCTCCAGGTCCCTCACCCCCCACCCCAGGCCCGAGAGCACAGTGCTGGGCAGGGGCACCCAGGGGTTCAGGAAGGTAGCACTAGGGGCCAGCATGAGTTTTGGGGGGGGGGTTGTGTTTACAGCGCCAAGTTCCCCACTTCTGCCCTGGCCTGCGCATCCCTCTTCCTTCCCGTCAGAGGCCCAGCTCCTGCCTACATGCTTGCTGGGCAGGCCCAAGTGCACTGGGGAGTGACCCATGGTGATCAGGATGGCCACTTCCTGGGATGGGATGGCCAGACCACAGGGATTCATGAAGGCGATGAGGCCCGTGGGGCATGCGCAGCCCTTAGGTGGCGGGGTGGCCAGCCTAGCCCAGTCTGGCTTCAGTGTGGCCAGTGGAAGCCCGAGGCCACCCCAACCCCCACAGGGCCTAAGCAGATGGTGGCTCAGTGGAGAGCGGTGTCTCCATGCATGGTGCCTAGGGGAGGCTGTGAGCTGCTGCAACCCCGCCCCATGCTTCAGGGATGGGGAGAAGGCTCGCAGCCACCAGCACCCTAGGCTGCACCGCCTGGCCTGTGCCTCAGCCTGCCAGGTTGGCAAGGTCCAGAGCAGGTGAGCTGCTCCCTTCCCCCAGTGGTAGAATAGGGAGTAGAGTGCTGGGTGCAGGGAGGGGGCCTCAGCTGGGATCCTCCTGGTGTGGGGAAGGGGCCCAGCCTGGGCGGGGTAGGGAGCTTAGGAAGTCTGGCTAAGCAGGCACTGGTTCATACCAACTCTTACTCTGCCACCTTCCTCTAGCTCTTCAAGCTAGCCCCCCTGCCCCACCTGTCCCGGGGAATGGGCTCTGGGTGACCTCCCTAAGCTCAGACTGTGGACCCAGAGACCTCAAGGAAGAGTGCCTGGCCGGTCCTGGGCAGGGGCTGGTGCAGAACTACCAGGGCACAGTTGCTTCGGTGTCTCGGTGAACTCCACCATCGTTGGGCTCCTGTCAGTCCAAGGCCTAAGCCTCCGCCATGACAAAGAAAGAACAGAGCAAGGGGCCCAGAGGAAGGGAGGACAATTGAAGAAAACCATGTCTAGACTTTCCCCAGCCCTCTCCTTCTTTCTGCTGCCTACAAGAGCCCCAGGCCCAGCCACAGTTCTGTTTCCATCTTTTAGTCCCCTATTCTCTAACAACAGAGGAAAGAAATAAGGAAGGAGTCTGTGCTGCCTTCAGAAGGTATCTGTATACCTGATCAGCCAGTTGCTTTCCACAGAGGGAGGCCAGACTTCGGCTTAGGCCTGCTCCCCACAGGGACATCAGTAGGACATTCTGTGAGGGCTCCCAGACTGTTGTTAGAGGGGGCAGGCTGGGCTGAGAGATGCCCCCTGAGTGCACAAATTTTTGTGCACCAGGCCACTAGTCTTTTAATAAAAATAAATTCTTATATGTGGAGGTAATGCTAAAAAATATACACTGATAATATTCTGCTGTAACTTCTTTTTTTATTATTTATTTATTTATTATTTTTCTTTATTGATTAAGGTATTACATATGTGTCCTTATCCCTCCATTTCCCTCCCCCACCCCCCAACTCCTGCTCTCACTGCCCTGGTGTCTGTGTCCATTGGTTAGGCTTATATGCATGCATACAAGTCCTTTGGTAGATTTCTTCCCCTTACCCCCACCCTCCCCTGCCTTCCCTCTGAGGTTTGATGGTCTGATCAATGCTTCTGCTACTGTAACTTCTTAAGGGTAATCTTAAATAAAATGCTGCATTTTAACAAGTACAATATTCACAATTTTGTTCTTAAAGATTAATAGAAACATTTCTATTTATGTAGCTCCTGTTGTAAGGAACTTTAAACACTCCAAATATTACTACATCTAACTTTTCTTGCTAACTGATGGATCAAAGCTATAATCAATTATTAACCATCTTTTGGTTTAAAAAAACATTAGAGAATAATGTAAAATAAAGTAGCTAACAGATAATTACTATAATTTAACATTTTTCTTCAAAATTCTTTACATCATAGCAGTACATTATATAAAATATCTTACCTCTACCAGATGGTAGCTTTCAAGAATTAAATACTTTTTTGAAATATCATTTTAATCATTTCTGAGCTTCATTTTGAAGATGTTAATTAATTGGATTTAAAGCAGTGTTCTGTTTAAAAAATTTTAATAATATGTCTAATTTTTGTCAATGTAAATAGACTTGCTGCTTAATTCAACTTTTCTAATGAATGTTACACTACTATTGATATACAGAAACATTGGAAATATGTGAAAATATATTTAGATAAAATAATGTGGTAATATGCTATACTTGAGAATAATAAAGCTATCACTGGCAGATCAAATGTCACACACACAATTTATTAGTATTTGGAGTACGATGTTTCTTATAAGGTAGAATTGGTAGCTAATTATTTGGCTGGTAGGAAATCAATCAATGTTGAATTTTTTTCCTTAAACCAGTATTACATCTTAGTTAACAACTTAAAATAGAGGCTGAAATGTATAATACACACACTATCTTTTATTCAGTAAGAGACACTACTTCAGAATACACTTTGTTTCTTCATCTACTGCTCTTCAACTGTAGCTAAAGGCAAGAATAAAACCTCACAAAATACTTGGTCATCTATTCTATCTATCTATCTATCATCTATCTATCTATCTATCTATCTATCTATCTATATCTATCCATCATCATTTTATTGTCTATCTATCCATCATCATTTTATTGTCTATCATCTATCTACTATCTATCTATCTATCTATCATCTATTTTTTTTCTGTATGATAGCGCCTTTGCTCCTACCAGTTGAAAGTCATTTTCTATTTTTGCAGTATTCCTGTCAAAACACATAAGAGTTGGGGGTGAGTGGGACTTGAAGAGTAAATGTACAATTCAGTTCCCATCCCCAGCTATTTCACAGGTTGGAATGGACCAGGGAAGGCAGCCTCCAGCCACACAGTTGTAATATGTCATCTTGCACATTTCTCATCTATTCTTAAAATATTTCAGTGGTAGATGCCAGCACTCTTAAGAAATTCTTATCTCTGTTAGTCATCAATATTCCTTTAAGTCATGTTTTGGTTTATTTTGGAGTACTGTTTAAGCTTGGACCAATATATGAATTATAATTAGGATAACCCTGGTTTAGGTACTTGCCATAACCAATGCTTTATAGAAAACAATCTCTATTTTACTGAAAATATGTGAACTTGAACTACTGAAAGCTTGGTAATTAAAAACACTAATTATATCTAGGCAATCTCTTATGTGGTTCTCAGTCATTTTACACTATTCATTGAAAACCTATTATGTGTGTTACTACGCCAGGAACCAGAGACTTCAAATGGAAAGGGAGAGATTCATGACACACTTCAGTTCTTCCTCAAAACAACAGTTCCAAGGAACAATAACTGACTTTCCATGAACAAAGGTTCCATGGAAAAACATGTTTGAGAAACTGTGGGTTAAGCAATTGTTCACATATCTATTTGTGTAAGACTTTTACAGCTTCATAGCAAATAAGAGTATATGTGGTATTTTCTAAAATTATTTTACTCTGGATTCCCATTTTCCCCCCTACAGAATATCTTAAAGAGCACTGTTGAATAAAAACACTTAAGAATCATCCCAAGCAAAGAAATCTCCTTGTTCATGTTTTGCATTCTCAATGACTATTCTGAAGTTGGTACTCAATCATTGTTAAATGAATAAAAGGAGGTAGTTACTATACTACATGGCAGAAAGTAGTAAGTGTCCTCACTGAGGTACAAATAAAACTTTATGGAAATTCAGAGGAGGGAGAGAATTCAGCTGGGAGGAACTATATAAGGTTTAATGAATCAAGAAATTTCTGAATGACAGGGGCATTTGAAGATAAAAGAAGGGCAGCTGAGCAGAAGGTCAATGGGAAGGGACTGGGAACATCTCCAGGCTAAAAGTTATTATACTTGCTCTTTTTTACACATTGAATAAAACTACATTCCAATAGAAATCTTTGCCACCTGAACTTTTGTATTTTAAAATCCTTACAAACTCAGGAAAAACTATTAGAAAAATTAAAAAGGGAAATTATGCTTAAATGAATTTATAGTCTGATAGGACAGTATTAAACAATACTTACTGCTATTAGGGTTGTCTCCAATGATATGGTGTCGCCCACTCCAGTACCAGAGAAGCAGGGTTGCATCTCGAGACCCTGACACAATATAGCAGTCCCCACCTATGTATGATTCAGACCTGGCCAAGCAGGTGACCACATCCCAATGGCCAAATACAATCTGAGTTAATTTCCCTGAAACACAGAAACAGCAGATTTAATTCATTTGCTATTTTTCTTTAAATGGCAAGAACTTTATTTTACTATATTTGTGAAAAGTGACCCTATAGACCTACAAATTTGTAAGGTAATTAAATTATAGCAACAGATTTGCTTTCTTTAATTGCTTCTGAAAAATAATACAGTACTATCACTTGGGATTTTTTAAGAAAAGGACTTACAAGATAACACAATGATGATTTTTGTTTGAGCCAGACTAAAGGGAGATTTAAGGTCTTTTACTGGATTTGATTTGGAATGAGACAACAGTCCCCTTTGCCCTGTGAAATCAGGGTTCATGCTAAAGTTCAGAATGGAGGGCATGATAAATAGTTAACTTATAATGTAAACATTTAATTTGGATCTTGGCACTCAAGATAAAAATGCCTACATTATTATGATTTCATATTATGATTTAAATATAACAATAGGCATTTTGAAGAGAATAAGGTATTTCAAATTGAAGGGTACCTGTTTCTGTAGAATAAACTCTGAAACTCTTATCCCAGAATCCACAGATGAGAATATAGCGATTATCCGCTGTGACCACAAAACAATGTGCATTGATTTGGATACTCTGGTCAACAAGGTCTGTGATCTGCCGTTTGTTCACACCAGAATTATTGGCTAAATGTAAATAGAAAAAAAGAGAAATATTTCATACAAGTTTCATCAAGCACTTATAGAAGTAATAATTTTATACTTCATTTGTGTAGAAAAGTTTTTTAAGGGTATATAGGTTAATATTTTAATATTTACCCATGAGGAATATAAACTTTTTTAGTAGCAGTGATTATTTATAAACCATATTACATATTTAAAAGTTGTCATAAATTTAAATTCTTCCTCCACCAATAAATAAATACAATATGAGGAATTCAAGATAATGACTTTAAAACAATATCTAAATGCATTTAATTTCATATATGTTTACGATACACAAGTACATTAGTGTCCACAAGTTTAACATTAATGAGGAATAATACTGTCTAAGGTATCCTATCTAATAAAAGAGAAACATGGTAATTGGCGTATGACCCCTACCCGTCCCATTGGCTAATCAGGGCGATATGCAAATTAACTGCCAGCCAAGATGAGGCTTGCTTGCTTCAGTGATGGAGGAA